AGCTATGGTAGAGAAAGAACCATCAGCTAGTCTCACCTTATCTCTCCCAGAGAGAATGTTATATGTCTGAAATAAATTTGACTTACCGGTCATGTGGTTTGAGGCTCCGGAGTCAATAACCCAAGGAGAATCAGTGGTATGAGATGACACATGGAAGGCTGTGGCAGCGTTACCTGATGTAGACGCGAAAGAGGTAGAGGGAGTAGGACCCGAATCCATCTGGCGGAGAGTCCTACCGTACAATTCCAAATGGTCATGAAAGGAGTTGATAATTTCTTCCTTAGGGTCAGAACTGGGATGCCTCTCTTGAGTTACCAATGGACTAGTCTCTGTCGATGCCATATTAGCTGAGTTATACTTTTTCTGATTCTGCTGGCTTGGTTTCTTGCCCTGATCAGGTGTTCAGACCATCAAAGGGAATAACAACCATGGGGAAACTCATATCCATTCCCCCACTCACTCCATTCTGGCTCCCTAAAATCTCTGAAGTAGCAGAATTTTCAGACGACATGGTAAGCACAAGATTTTTTTATCTAAACTCTTAACTTAGGATTCGTCCTTATATCGACAAAAGCTCCACACACAATTCAGTTCTGGACTTAATCTGAGCACAAAAACAAACAACACCAACTTCCAAAGAAGAACTATGACGAGACTGATTTTCACCGCAACATTAATCAATAACGTGTAAGTTCCACCACAACATAAATCAATTAGAGAGATCCTAACACACATGAAATCAGATTAACAAGCAGAGGAACCAGGTCATCTACGACCTACAATCACCTTTTCATAGGTATAGGATCACACGATCCAACAAATAAAAGATATAACCCTCAAAAAAGTTTGCCGACATTTACAGGATCACACGATCCAACAAATAAAATATATAACCCTCACAAAAGTCGGCCGACATTCAGTGGTTTGGATTCATTTGTTCTCCACTTGGTACTCGACCAAGGAAAGAAATAAAAAAAGAAAGAAAACTTTAGGGTTATACCAGTTGCAGATCTGATTTGATCGGCTCAGATTCAGTCCTCTGTTCCGCCCAGATTCAGCAACTTGAAGAGAAAATACTTGGTCGCCCAGATTCAACAGCCTTGCTCTGATACCATTTTGACAATAAATCCGATTGAAATATGAGGAAGTAGAGAAGAGAAGGAAAGAAGAGAGAAAGGAGGAAGAAAGGAAGAAGAAAAAGTTTGGAGCAATAGAACAGTGTTGGCGGCGCCAGCTTTTATTATATTATATAGGGCGGCAGAAATAAGAAGGGAAAAGACCCTTGTGCCCCTGCTGTAATTGAGTACAATAACAGAAATAAAAAAACGCTTTAACTAGCCAAACAGACCATAACACAAATAACTAAATTATTTCAACAGTCTTTTAATTGGGTATGTCTTGCCTTCCATTTTAGTTTGATTTTATGGGTTGTATTTAGAGGAACAGCTTAGTTGGTTCTTTTATTCTTTGTATTTTTATAGGGCAGAAAATGCAACTTCTTCCAGTGGTGTGACCTGGAGACAGCTGATGAAAGACATGATGCTCTTCAGTCTGTGTATCCCTTGTGTTCTTGTGGTGCTGGAGTTTGCAGTCTCTTAACAGTGAAAAATGGAAGAAATGCAGGGCGAAAGTGTTTTGTCTGCCCAGTGAAAAGGGTATGCATTGTATGAATTTTTTAATACTTTGGACTAACAGTTATCCTCTCCCGTGACAAGGAGAAGAGCATTCTTTGGGCATACCTGTTACCACATATATGATTAAGACTACCCTACCTGATTCAGTGGATCTTTGCCTAGAATATTATATTATTTCAGTGTTAACACACAAAGGTGGTTAAAAAATTGCTCATTTATTATATTTCTTTTGTCTCAATGATGAGATTATTGTGCATGGTGAACTATCAACCTGCAGATTTACCAATTATTTTTTCTTTAATTATATATTCTTGTTTGATGACTTATGGACATAAACCCTTCTTAGATAGGTCAAGATTTTATCCTTAATTGGATGTGTTAGTCTTAGTGGGAAGTTTTGCTGGAATTAGTTTAGGATGTTGGGACCATCAAGCATTTACTGTCTTGTGGGGTACCTAGTCTATGGGGTAATCCCTAGATATTAGGTGTTTTGGAATGTGCTGTTTGAAGGGTTTTCTAAAAGGTTGGTACCCTGGAAGAAGAATTGCATTTCCTTGGGAGGGTGAATTGGTACCTTTGGTGTTTGAGGGGAATGACTATTGCTTATTGGGTATTTTGTTTGGGCTGGTTACAGCTTACAGGTAGGTGTTTGTGGAGGTAATTTTGTAAATTTGTCAATTGTTGTGGCAGTTTGTCTAGTTGTTTTTGTATAATGTTTCATGAGTGGGGGCTGGGGCTAGCCGGGTGTGGGGGCTGTTTCAGGTAATTTTGTAAATTTGTCAATTGTTGTGGGAGTTTTTCTTTTTTCTTTTTAATATTTTTTGGTTTTCTGTTTTCTTTGTGAGTTGCGAACTTACCGTCCTCATTTTCATCTTGTATTGCTTCAATTTTAATTTTTTTTGTAAATTTTGAGTTTTCTTTCAAAACACATATACACATGCAAGCATAGTGATGCTGGAGCACAGTGGTTAAATATGAATCTTTTGAACTTTTATGTATTATTTTTATTTCTATATAACAGGGAAATTTTGGTCATTTTACATGTTATTGGAGGAATGCCCAAGGTTGGCGAGTGATTTGCATGCCCTGGTATGGTTTTTGGCACTGATGTGTTTCATGGCCGTTCTGTTTCACCAACTTGTCACATCAGAAAAAATGGAAAAACCATTTAATTGAATCACTATAGTGATCAAAATAACGTTTCTTGAATCACCATAGTGATCTTGGATCACCAATGCGGTGTAGCACATTCAAATTTGAAAAAGTTAACTGCTTTTCTGAGATATACCCTTGTCATAATGAAAACCATAATCACCATCTAAGCCTTGTCCTAACTATATAGGGTTGGCTATTCCATAAAGAAAGTATTTTAAAATAAAACCAATGTACTTTAAACACCCAATCAGCATGCATCTCCACCAAATGGGTTTTTATGTGTTTTTCAAAAACAAAGAAAAAAAACAATGCATAGTGGGTGGTGGTGGTGGTCCTGATTCCTGATGAAACGTAATGCTTGTGAAATTCAAAACTCGGTCTTCTTTTATGAGCATCTATTGCAGCCATCAACTGCCTACAAATTCTTCACAAGAATACATTCAACACCCCCAAATGGTTGAAAGTTGAAACTGATTCAAGTATATAATTTTTTTCACCTTTCATCCTGCATTTTTTTTCTTAAAACCCTATGTTCCAGAGCTTTTGGGTTTTTTAGTAAAGTAGATTTGTCATCCTTCTATTCAATATTCTCTTTCAAGCTTGGTCAGCTCTGCAAGTTGAATGTGTCTCTATGTTCAATACCTTCCTAGGTTCATCCTTTAGTCATAGTTTGTTTTATGTTAATTTGGCATTAGGGCAGGTGATTCTACATTATTTGGTGTCAATGTTTCTAGTCTTACACCACGGAAACTTACCATACATCTATATTTCAGGGAATGCTGAGTTATCATGTCATGTGAACAATAGCCTTCTATATATAAATATGTTTGATGAGCAAGATAGCCTTCTACATGTTATTTGTTTATTTTTCTTTTACTTCTATGTCATATTTGTTGGTTTCTAACAGAAGGGAATTATGACTCAATTGTTTTCCAGGGACAAGGAGCTTGTAATTTCTTCCAGTGGCAAGATGCTCCAGCAAAAGCAACAAGTACCAGTCATTTAGATGAGAACAAACCCTGCAGTTCTCCTAATTCAGCATCTTATTGCCAGAACGAGGCAGGTGGTGCAATGAAGGATAATCATTATAATAATTTAGAGGAAAATTTGACCCCTGGGTTGGCAGAGGAAGAATCCTCATTGTTCAGAGAATTCCATTCCAAGATTGAGACAGATGGATCAGGAATTGGGATTGATGATTGTTATCCTCCAATTGAAAGATTGGATTTAGAATAAATCGAGAATGCTAATGTTATTACTAAGCCATGCATTGAAGGCACTCAAATTGGTATTCAAATTGTAAGATCATACTCTAGTTAGTTAAGTCTGAAAGTTTCCCCAATCTCTTTGACTGTCCTGCTATAGATTACTCAGGAGTATTTTCTTATTGTGGTTTACTTTAATAGTGCTGATTTATTAACATTTTCGATCATCATCATCATCCATGCCTCATCCCAACTATATGGGATCTACTACATAAATCGTGTTTTGCCAATCCATTCTATTCAAAACCATATCCACTGTTAAATTGTTAGTGCTTAAATAATTTCTTACTACTTCTAACCATGCTCTTTTTGGTCTACCCCTAGCTCATCTAGCTAGCCCCTTCCACTTGTAACAAATCACTTCCATAGTTGTCAAGGCGCCTAGGCGATGGAATCTGAAAGCATAAAATCTAAAGATCCCTATTCCTCCTAAGCTACTTTATTAGTTTTTTATACATACCAACCTGCCTGTATACTACGTATTAGCAATAAAACCATTCAAATAAGTAACGAACTATAAATTTCATATAAAAACATAAACATGCCATCATAAATACATCATTTAAATATATTAATTTCAATGTTTAATAACCTGCATCGGGCCATTAAAAAAAGGAAAAGAGAAAATAAGGGGGCTTTGATTCATTCCCAAAAATTAAACAATAAGAAAACAAAAATACATGAATAAGAGGACAACTTGGGCTGTGTTTAAGGGGGCAAAGACCTTGTTTCAGGCCAATAAAAATGCCTGCCTAGGCGTCGCCTTGACAACTATGATCACTTCTTCTAACTGGAGCTATTGGTGGTCTTCTATGCAAGTGACCAAACTATCTTAGCCTACTCTTCCTCATTTATTAACATTTTCGATAGATGAGAGAAAACTTTATTGAGATTTCCTGTTTCCCAGATCATGGATGGAACTAAAAACCTTGCAAAGAATTGTATGAGACCATAGTCATAGTGAATCCCCATTTCTCCTCTTCTAGCTTGTGATTCTGCAAAGGAGTATATTGTAATAGAAATTTACTCTCCCCTGTAAAGGTAGATGGTCTTTGTGGACCTATCAATAATACATCCATCTGCTGCTAAAATTTGAACTTCTCCTGTTGAACAACTCCAAACCAAGAGCTTGAGAGACAGAGAGTGAAGGACCTTGTTTGGAAACCATGGATTAGGCTTTATACTATTATCAATTATTCCAAGGATTAAATAAAGCAACTTTGCCTTCTCAATCCTTGGAACTTGGAGGCACTTCCAATACTTGAAGGCCTTCAATTATGCAACCAAGCATCTGTAGAACTTACTTTAACATGGTCTACTTTGAGTACTTGAATTCTTTCACCACTACTGAGTTGAATGCAAGTGTCTTCTACCTGATGCAAAATTTTCATTATTGAATCAATGAATAAACTCTCTGAGAAATGAAAAATTATTTGCTTATGGTTGCTTTATTCCTATTTTAGTCCAGAGCCCAACATGCAATTAAAGTCAGAAGAATAAAATTCAGCAATCTAGAATGAGGTGGTGGGTGGGGAGATCTGGTATGAAATGCTATGAAGTATTTTAAGAGGTGTCACAATGTCTTCGGTGTTTGTTACATCTCTGGTATCATGCTTTCTTTGAACTGGTTGAAGAGGCTTGTGGTGCCTGGTATCAAAATACCATTGTGGATTTGATGGCAACAATAAATGGATAAAATCTATAGAAAAGAGCAAGAACATGATCCCAATGTTTACATGATTTTGTAGAATAACTACATCTATAGGCTACATTATCACTAGGGCTGATAGGGAAGATGTGATAAGGGGATGGAGAGTAGGCACAAACAGAATTCCAGTAACTCACCTTCAGTTTGCAGATGACTTGATGATCTTTTGTGAGGAAGGCTTCGGTGAGAAGGTGGAAAACCTAAGAATTGATTAGAGATTTTGAAGGAGTTTCCAATCTGAAAATCAATCTAGGAAAAGGCTGCATAGCCGAAGTAAATATAGACTTTGAGGAGGGTGAGGTGATTGTAGATTGTCTTGAGCGTTCCATTTCTTCTTGGCCTTTGTCCTACTTAGGGCTTCCGTTAGGAGCAAACCCTAGGGAGAGTAGGTTCTGGACCCCAATCTTGGAAAAGATCGAAAAGAGATTAGCAGTGTGGAAGAAAAATTATCTCTTTGGGTGGGAGGATCACTTTGATAAAAGCTACCCTCATGAATCTACCTACCTATTACCTCTCTGTGTTTAGGATACCGTCTAGGGAAGCAAAGAAATTGGAAAATTTGATGAGAGATTTTCTTTGGGAACTGGGAGAAGGTAAAAGAGATCATTTAATTAATTGGGTAGAAGCAAAGAGGAAGGAGGATTAGGGCTACGGAATGTGCTTAAAAAGAATTCAGCTTTGTTAGGGAAGTGGCTGTGGAGGTGGCCTTTGGAGCGAGATAGACTCTGGCACAAAGTAGTGAAGAGTATTCATGGAGGTTCAGAGAGTGGTTGGGATGCTGGTACATCACGGAGGGCTAACCTAGCCACACCATGGAAAGCAATTCACAAAATTCTTCTACAGTTCCTCAGTCGTGTCAGGTATGATGCTTGTTCTAGTAATTCTATTCGGTTTTGGGAGGACATTTGGGTTGGAGATCTCCCTCTAAAAGACCTTTTTCCTTCTTTGTACTCTGTTTCTTTGTATAAAAATGAGGTGATCTCAAAATTCCTTCTGTCGATTTTAAATTTGTCAGCGTTGTCTTGGGATTTTGGTTTCCATAGAGGGTTAAGGGGTGAGTAAATTGAGTGTTTGTCTACTCTTCTGTGTCTCCTTGATAAGGTTTGGCTAGATCCCTCGAAACCTGATAAAAGAATTTGGGCCATTCACCCCAATGGATCTTTTTCTTGTGGCTCCTTTTTCAAGTTCCTCTGCCAAATTTATTCTCAACAAAGTTTCCCTTCCAAAGAAGTCTGGTGTAGGCCGGTCCTCCCAAGGTTATGGTTTTGTGTTGGGAAGTGTGGCATGGTAAAGTAAACACGATGGATATAACCTACAAAAGAGAAGACCCGACCTTTGTTTTTCACCAAACTGGTGCATTATTTGCAGATCTCATGGTGAGGATTGTAATCATCTATTTTTATCTTGTAGTGTMACTACAGAGCTCTGGGCTTGGCTTCTATCTTTGTTTGGGTATAGTTAGGATATGCCAACAGAAGTAAGCACAATCTTTAACCCTTCTTTTTTCTCTTGGCCCCATAAAAGAGGAAGGAAAATGTGGAGATGCACGTAAGCAGCATTGTTATGGACAGAAAGGAATGCCAGGATCTTCCAAGAAAAAGGGAGGAGCAGTCAAGCCTTGAAGGACTGCATTATGTCCAGGTCAATACATTGGTTAAAGACTCTAGAATTATTTAACCATTTCTCTTTTACTGATTGTTGGAAGGATCGGAAATTGGTAGCAAACTGTTCCTCCTACAAGGTAAGGGTATTGACTAACTGGCCCCCCCCTCCTCTTGGTTCTTTGAAGCTGAATTTTGATGGGAGTAGCCAGGGTGACCCGGGTCCCTCTAGGATGGGAGGTGTACTGATTAATGAGGCTGGAGAGGTTGTCTTAATCTACTCTGGCCCTTTAGGTGTTGGGAACTCTATCCGGGCAGAACTGTCTGCTGCATTACAAAATACTTCTTGCAAAAGAAGTGGGCGTGGAGCAGCTTCTGATTGAAGGGGATTCTAAGACAGTGGTGGACTGATTAAATAATCCGGAGGACATCACTTGGGGCTACAAAAATGAGTTAAAGAAATTCAAATGGCTGACAAGAAATGTCTATAACAGTACAGTGGGTTGGGAGGTCAGCTAATACATTTGCAGATGTCTTGGCTAAACAAGGGATAAATAGGGAAACATTGTTCTGGGCACAACTGTAACTCTTGTTTTAACATCAACATTCATGTAATTTCTGTTATAGTTCTTGTATTTGCTGTTAGGAGAGGCGGCACCTCGCGCCTCTAAAGGGATTTTCTTGTAACCAATCATTAATTTAATGGAAACGAATTTATTTATAAAAGTTATCCGGATAATAAAAAAATCTTCGAATCTCCACTTTACCAAAGGATCCCTGCACATATGGCCAAAATCCTGAAACCTGGGTTATTATACTGTCTAGAACCCCTATCCCTAAAGTGGGTGGAGGATCCAAGTCTCTCAGAACATCCTAATGTTAGTTTTACAATGCTTTGGTGCATGTACACATTTTGGATTATTATGTATGATATTATTGTTTTGGCAAATGATTAATACTTTATTGAGATCAAGAGCTTAAATCAGTACAAGCATCCCTTTGAGAGGTGTGAGTTGGACCTCCCCCAAATCTAGAACAAAAAGAAAATTATTAAAACCTGTCTGCTGGCATACACAATATCAACTATTTTTTTTTTCTCAACAATTTCGTCCACTTTTGTCACATTGAGAGTGACCAGAGTTGGATATGACAATTCTATTAACACCTGTCTGCTGGCATACACATATCAACTGAAATGATTGTGTTTGTCTTCTTCTTTGTTTTGAAAATAAAAAAAATACCAGGTCTCTGACCCATATATGAGTGAATACAAAGGATATTCTTTTCTTAAAGAGAGTGTGGAGCATCATATCTCCCGTGGACTCAAGAATGCTACCTATTCCATCAGTTCTTTGGATGAGAAAAAGGATATTTCAAGCAAACTTCCTTGTACTCCTCAGGTTAGATAATCTAGGTGCCTCTCATTTTTACAGTGATATATTTGTACTTGCATTTTTTGATTGGTAGTTAGAAATTATACTGGTATACCATAGGAGAAGATACAAAGCAAATGCTTCCTAGTTTTGGTTGGGGTTAGAGAATAACTTATACAATTTCATAATTTGCTATTTGGTTGCAAGCCTGAAAGCTTGGAATTTGATCGACTGTCATCTTGTTCAGAATAATCTCCTCTTTGATGATAAAGAGCTTACATTTTAAGTTGGCAAAGAATAGAGATATAAAGTTTGCTGTTTTTTTTTTTTTTTCTTATTTAGTGTCTCTTTTTTCTTTGAATGTTGGCTAGTAAAATATATGAGGGAAAGTGAGAAGTGGAGGGACAGTGAAGAGTTGCAATTGGGAACTAACTTTTATCAATAACTGAGGACTTATCTTTCGTGATATTTCACATGTTGACCTCTCTTTTTGACTATCTTCTTGTTATGTGCCTTTGTTTGCTTTAACATTTAATACTTGTTGCTCATAATTTCTGCAGTTATTACATAGTGGTTATGCTGTATGCTGTTGTGGCATGAATGCATTAAATCCCCAGTCATTTAAAATACCAACTTTCATGGTTTATTGCTCTTGTGGTGTCGCTGCAGCTTAGTTTCTGATCATTATGGAAATGTGTCTGCAATGTTGACATAAAATTAAACCAAAGATTGATGATTAGGATGATGTGTTGTCCTTTTAAAATTTCTATTGATTTCCTTGCCATTCTCTATTCTATTTGAGACCAAAAGGTGCAAAACAAGTATAATGTTAGCATGTGATGCATACTTGATGAAGCATCAACTTGATATATGATCCATGTATCTGATGCTGATGCAATGGTCCAAGATCTCTACCAACTGGTGGATCTTGATCTCTGATCCATATATGATCCATCAGTCTTCTTTCAGTTTGGTAATCCCCTTTGTTTGCATGTTGGGCTCATCAAATATTGGAAAACTAAAACATAAATTGTCCAATTACTGTTATGTGTGTGGAGGTTGGAGCTTTGGGGCTTATGCATGATGCATCACACTTAGCTATCCGGTCAGGTTTACACTTCTTGGACTTGAATAGTTGTTTATATGCATTCAGGACACATGTTGGCAATATGTGTTTCAAAAAGCATTTGTGGTTTAAGCCATGAGCTTGGATAAAGCATGAATGGGGTGTATAGGTGTATGCTTTTTAGCAATGTTCAGAGAACCGGACCGGTCATAGAACCGGATAAGGGAGAGGTTCATGGGTCAGAGGTTTGATTGGGGTTGAACTAGAGGTCGAACCGTGATGATGTGGCATATACATGCATACATATATATATATATGTATTGTAATATTGTAATCCTTTAATAGGTACTCTTAAGTGACTAAATTATTCTTTAACGTAGTTTAACTTTCTTGTTTTGAAGTTGTTCTAAATTTCAAATAAGACTTGTTTCAAAAATTTACCAGATCATTTGGTTGAACTGGGACTCAATTTGGTCCAATAAAACTGGTTGGTTCAGGGTTGAATTGTTGGTTAAACTTCTAAAACTAGTGTAAGCTGATAGGGATAGGGATCAAGGTTCAAAATATCGATACGGCGATGGGCATATCGGGCGAATCGATATTGTGTTTTTTTTTTTATTTTTTTTTTCTGAAATCAGTTCAGGGGGGGCAGCTTAGGGCTCCTCCACCCCCTGAACTGGTCAGACCCCCGATACACCCACTATAGGGGCGTATCGGAGGGGTTCCGGAACGATACGTGTCGATACTTTGAACTTTGATAGATTTAGCCTTGACGTTTTGGAAATAGATCGGAAGATGCCACTAGGATTTCAATGATGTAGAGAAAGGGAGCTTAGGTAATAATAGTATCAGTTTGTCCCTTCTCACAGAAGATGGTCTCCCTATTTATAGAAGTGGTGAGGTCAACTACGTTGTATGCGAGTAGGGGTTTTGGATTTTTTTTTGATTGATAACAAAAATTTCATTAATCAAACAGAATAATTAATTACAAAGGATGGGAGCTAAGCTTTCTTAACTCCCCCAACAGAGGCAAGAGCCCCCAAGGAAAAACCAAAATTACAACTAAGCCCAGAATAAAGATCCCTAGTCACCCCTTGCTTGGCTAACCCATTTGCAAATGAGTTAGCAGATCTCTTCACTCAACTGTACTTTTATTTCCATGTCCTTAGCTAACCACCTGAATTTTTTCCTTTCATTGGTGTAGTTCCATAACCAAGCCTTGTCTTTACTCATCCACCCAACTACCACCTCCGAATGCCCTTCAATTACAAGCCTCCTAATATTCATTTCCTTGGCCCTTTGAAGACCTTCCAAAGCCCAATGATTTCAGCCCTAAGAGAGTCACCCGCTCCAATTGGGCCTGAAAACATGGCTAAAACAATCCCATTCTCATCCCTAAACTGTAGAGAACATTGATGTGGGCCCCACAGCTGTGGTCCCACTCTGTCCGTAGGGTAGAATGTATCTAGTCACAACTGTGGTCAATTTATGATTCTGTTATTCTAGTTGTTATTTACTTTTCAGATGTGTCCTTTCATGTAACTAGCATAACATATAAATATTAAATTAAAGTGGCGGCGGCAGAATATTGAGATTCTGTTCTTCTCCTCAAAACTGTGTTCT